ATGATAGTGAGGCTTGGGCTCCTCCTTGGGGGTATTTCAGCATTATAATGATGGAGAGGTTACTGTCCTTCACTACATGGTTCCATTAGCACATGTGTGAGTCCCTGGTTAAGCTCAAGCTGGTCTGGGTGGTCTGGGCCTCCAGAGCTCTTCACCAGGGCAGTCATTAAAGCTTGAGGAGTAGTTTTGATTTCCATCAGGGGATGCTATGCCTGTTGGGTCTTTTTGGCTTGCACTAAGTAAGAGATAAGCTAGAAAGAATTTAAGGAAAAATGTGGGACAAAGCTCAATGAGTACAAGCAGGTGAGTGGTAAAGGTCAGGTCCTGGGTTTAGCTGGTGACGTCATTCTGTAAGCCATCAAGTTTCAGATCTAGAGTAATTTTCTGTCTGTCTCTTCCTATCTCCACTGTACTCCCTGTACACTCCCTGCTGATGTAGGCAGGACGTTAGTGTTTGAAGCTGGCGGGCCAAGAAGGAATTCTTGAGATGTCTTCGGTGCAGAAAGGTGGTTTTATTGAAGCACAGGGACAGGACCTTGGGCAGAAAGAGCTGCACTGGGGTCATGAACAGTGGCCCATTACGTATTTTCAAAATGGGAGGGGATCAGAGATAGCATAAGTCTTTAAGGAATTTTGGAAGCAAGGTTTCCAGGACCGTGAGGAGGCTGGCCATTGTTGGGAAAAGGTCATTTATTGCTGTCTATTAAAACCTGAGTCATGAGACCCTTTAGATGTATATCAGTGGGTCATATGCTTGGGAAATGACTGCCAACATGTATCTTGGAGGTAGATAAAGGAAGTTTCCAAAGAAATTTGTACATATTAAAGTAGACTTACAGGATCCTGGGGTCCAGCTGAGGTTGCCCTTTGCCCTTAGCAGAGTATTAACATCGAGGCAGCTGAGTCCCTAGAGGAATCTCACTCTGCCTGTTTTAAGGACTTGTCAATGAGGCTGTTAGTAGTAAAGAACTTTAATAATTTTTCTTCTGCCTTTGTTTCCCGCATCACCTCCATGTGCAAGTATAGTTTACACCAAATCCTGTCACCTTTCTCTGCAAGGTTTTCTACAACTGTAGTTTGGGCCTTAACACTTGGCTTCTTTAATAACAATTAGAGTCTTCTGATCCATCCAGCTTCCAGATTTTTCCTCATCCATTTTGCACACTAGTACCTGAGTAATCTTCTGAATGAAGCAAGGGAGCAAGGTTCTTGTCTCACGGAATCAAAGAATGAATCTCGCGGGCAAAGGAGAGTGAGCAAAACTGATAATTTTATTAAGCAAGGATACAGGAAAAAGCTCTCAGGAGTGAGAAGGGTCCCCACCGGGTTGCCAGTAAGGGCTTTTCATCTCTGGCCTTTTATTAGGACTTTAGGAAACTTGCTGGTAGTTAAGTCCATGGCCTGGAAACAGACATCATGTGAGAGTTTTTGTTTTTGCAACCTCCATGATCTATAGATACATATTGCTAGGTCTGGTTAATCTTTATAGTGAACTTTTCCTTTGAGGCCTGATTCGTTTTTGTGGTTATTTTTTATTTTCTGTGGTTACAGTGTAATTATTAGAAAAATGTTTTAGCCCTAGCAGCTAAGATAGGGTGGTCTTAATTTTCCTGATCTCTGTCTTTGTTCTGTTTTGATGTCTGCATGCCTCAGATACCTTCAGAGCTAGTTGGAGCCCCCATTCTTTCTCTACCTAAAGTCCTGTCCTTTACCTATTCATGAATGTGCCATTGCAGTGTATTCCTGCATTGCTGTAAGGCTTCCAGTTGCTTCTCATTATCCTAAGGCAACTCTTTTGTGTGTGTGTTTTTGCCCAGCCGACCGGACCTTCATCTTCAGTTGGCATCTTCACCTCTGGCTCTTCATCTTCAGTTCTGCCCTTTACTTGAGGCCCACTCTTTTCTCATTACATTCTTGCTTGATCTGTTCTCTAGGACTTTGTCAAGGAGGAAAAATAATTCTCCTTCTACCCTTCTAGGTTCTTAGCTGACAACCCTCTGTAATGAAAAAGATTTCTGTAATGAAAAACAAATGAAAATTTAATAACATGGTATACCTCCTGTAAAATTCCAGAAAAAACCGAGTAACTCTCCAAACCTTATACCATCTCTAGCCAAAGACAAAAGATGCTGATGAGTGGGGAATCCGTTATAGGAGGTTTTCAGGCAAAGCATATTGAAGAGGGCATGGTTTATGCAGATTGAAATCTCTGCCTTCTCCACTATGAAGAAATCCTAGAGATTTAGTACCCCCCTACTTCCTAAACAGTGAGGGAGACACCCTTACAAATGGAATTTTTTTTTTGTTTTTAATAAATGTAAATATCGGGGCGCCTGGGTGGCTCAGTGGGTTAAAGCCTCTGCTTTCATCCCAGGGTCCTGGAATCGAGCCCCGCATCCAGGCTCTCTGCTCAGCAGGGAGCCTGCTTTCCTTCCTCTCTCTGCCTGCCTCTCTGCCTACTTGTGATCTCTGTCAAATAAATTTTAAAAAAAATTTTTAATAAATGTAAATATCTCCTACAAAAGGGGAACTTCTAACCTGCTTTTCTGAATTTCTCCTGTGTCTGCTGATTCTCTTAAAATAATCCTTCTGCCAAAGAGGCATATTATGGTGTAGTCAATTCTGTTCTCCTTTACCTGGAATTGTAGCTGAACTTAAGGGGCTTACCTCCTGGGGTGCATTAATTTGAACACAATCCAAGGAAGTGTTGAAAGCGAAGAACTTTTTATTACTTTTTACAAGTGAGGAGCTGGAGGCAGCTGTCAAAGCACTGTCTCCCCCTGGGGTGAGTACTGGAAGCTTTTATTTGGTGTATGGTGGGGAGGGGCTTGCATATGTGCTACATACACATTAAGGAGTTACACATATTCTATTATTTAGGCACTTTGGTTCAGTTGCACATGCCTAGCATGTCAATGCGCTAATACATGCATCTATGTTCAAAAACTAGCAGAAAAACCCCACCTATAGGAGGAGATCTGAGTTTTATAATGAGCTAAAGGTAGCTACAGGACAACTTTGGGGGGCTTCTGCGGGTCCTCAGCTCCAAAAGGGCTCAAGCTGGCCCAAACTGGCTCACTTCAGGTGAAAGAAACACCTACCAAGGGGCTAAAAGATGAAACCTCTAGGTGATGTGATGTCTGAAGGGGGTGTCTCTTGATTGGAGGGGGGGGGCCCACATGGGGGCTGACTATCTGAGTCAGGAGGTAGAAGAATTAACCTGAAGCAGAACAAAGAGATAAAAGTTTATTGACTACATTGTTAGGGAGCAGTGGCCAGATAGAAGAGAGGTCGTCTGCAATGAGGCAGTGGGGCTGTTTTTAAAAGGGGGGAATGAGGAGGAATAGTGACATACAGAATTCTGCCTTTTTTGGCAACTGTGCCTGGTTGTAAGCCCACTGGTCATTTACGTCCTGTGGTTGTTTGGATGTGGGTCTGAGACCTGATGGGCCTGCCTGTTCAGCCTGGTGGTATCTGAGGGCCTTTTCCACATTCCATTGCTCCAGTCTGTTTGCCTGAAAGTGGCCTCTACAAGCTAGGTGTCTTTTTGGTGGAAATGGCTGGTTTTTGCAAAACAAAACACATTCCTCCCTGCTTTTGTCCTTTTCCCCACTTCCATCTCCTCATAGCTGAGTAACTTCTCTTTCGCACCCTAGTTAACAGAATGCCCAACTCTCTTCAGTCCATGATCGGTTCTTACGTAGCTCTCAAGGCTTGCCAGCTTTGGGAAATGTTACCCTGACTATCCTAGTCTCCAGTGTCGACTTTGTTTCCTTCATGAGACTTAGAGCACTCTCCCCTTTTATTTATTTTAAATGGGATACACAGTTTTTACTTCTGTGGCTTGTTAGACATTTAAAAATTTTATTTATTAAAAACTTTAAACATTTTATTTGCCTTCATTTCTGTCCATCCTTCTTAGGGCTTCTCCTGGACCGGTTCACTGTTCAATTTAGGGAGATCTTTCACCTTCTCCTTTAGGGGATTCAAATCATATACAGACTAAACTAGAGGGTGTGTCTCTCTCTGGAATACTAACATATTTTCTTGACTCCTGTATCCAGATGATGTTGGAACTCTTCTTTTATTGGCCTGTGAGATTGCATTGTATTTATATTTAAATTCTTAGGGAGCATATTAATCTAGAATTGGAACATCTGGGTTGTCTTGACTCTGCTACTTACTGACTGCTTAAAACATGAAAAGATCAACCTCCTATATGATTAGGAGTTTCTTTATATGTGAAGCAGAGATTAACAACCGACCTTGCATTTTGCAAGGCTATTCTGAATCCTGAAAATAAGTAAAAGATTGTACTTGAAAATAAGATTCATCTAGCTGTATATCCATGAACTTTATAATCTAATATATTTAACCTATTTTTAGGTGCTTAATATATGCTAATATTAACTAATGCAGTAACTCATTCATCCTCAAAACAACTCTGTGAGGGGGACTAGTACATGTTAGAAACAGGAGTTTAATTAATTGCCCAGTCCCAGGTAATCAGTAGCAATCATGGAATAGACCCCTGGTGGTGTGGCTTGGGACTCCCCTCTCCAACCCCCCGCTCATACCCACATCTCACAACTTCTCTTATGTAGCTAGTTCTGGTATTGGCTAACCACAGCTGCTCTTTGCTTTCGGTCTGCCTCCTCAGCCCCAAGTTTACTAGGTTCAGAAGCATCTAAAATCAAACCAGTTGTGAATTCAAATCCTGCAACGTTTCTCCAAGTTTGTAGTAATTTCAAAAAGAAAAGCAGCGTCTTGCTTACTTGCAATAACAGACCTGCCATGATAAAAAGGACAAAGGGCTTTGCATACTTGGAGGAAAATCACATGCTTAAATGAATGCATATGGAGCTTATTTTATTCACTATTGGAGGTTAGAGAATTTGGTATTTCAGCAATGAAACCAATGCAAATATGATGTACAAAATATGTAGTAGTGTAAAGACAGTCTGAGAACTTATGAGCTTTAATCCTCTTATCTATTTTAGGACTTTCTGGGACAAGTGTTTTGTACATTGGGGGAGATTGTTGGTTCTCAGGGAAGTCGCCTGGAAAAGCCAATAGTGTAAGTATTTTTTAATCCAGACAAAGAAATGTTAACTCTTTGGTTTTCATTTTGGTAGTTTGGAATTGATGAATATGTGGTTGGAGACCAAAAGTGTGTTTAAAAATCTTATTGAGTTTTTTTCTTCTAACAAATAGTGTTGACATGTTTATATTTTAGCCTTCATATGCCATGCTACAAAATGTTCACAAGATGAAATGAGGAGATTCAAAAAAGCAAATGTATAGTTTTCCTTTTGGGTGTAGTATTAATTCTAGGGTTTTAAGAATTAAATGTTTTGAAAAAGAGACTTTCCTCCTTTGGGCCAGGGACTATATGGAGTGCCATTCTTTATAGCATATGCTCAATAAATGCATTTTTAGTGATTGAGATTTTAGTGATTTTTACTACAAAGTTGGCATGTAAAAAAAGAAAGTAAGTGTATAAATGTTAAGAGAAGGCTCTATCACAGAATTATGTATTCTCCCTTCACTTTCAATCACTGGGATCATGTTTCATTTTCAGATCAATTGTGTGGGGTGATCCTATTTTCTCCGGTTCCAAATAAGACAGAAAATGAATTCCAGATATTTTTTCCTAAATCTTCCCACTCACTGTCCTTCTTCCTCCCCTCACCCCATCTCATTTATTTGAATTCAATTAACTGTTCATAAAAATCAAATGATCTAGGAAGAATACTGAGAAAACTGCAGAGCTAACCACAATATCAAAAGGCTTGGGGAATTTTGAAGTGTATATCTTCAACATTTCTTTTAAGAATCTCAGACTCATAAAATAAATGTGTCAAAACTCTCCAAGTCTATTCACCTCTAACATTCAAATACTTGAATTGTCCAAGGCATCGCTCTCACATTATTTGTATAAAATTGAACTTTACGCTTTAGAGTGTTCTTCTTAGGCTAATAAGAAGTCTGTGAATTCTCACTTCTTTTATTTAACTTGATTTAACTTGATTTATTAACCAGTTTGAAGACTTTTGCATATCAGTGCCTTTTAACATTTCTTTCATGTATAACTTGTTTTCATATCATTGCAGAATTTGTAAGCTTATGTTTCAGATATGTTTATGCTCACTTGAAACATGTCTTGAAAGTCTTGAAACATGTTAAAAAGTTGGCATTATTTTGGTTGGAGTATGTGGTAAGTTGAATATAGTGTGAGATGTGGTGGTTGTTCAGCTGATTCAACAATTCTCACTTAGGCAAGACCAACAAAAGCACAGTCAGGGTGAGGGGTGACAATGGAAACATTTGGAGTATTTGCTGGCAGTTGATTTATGATCATCTCACATAACCAGGAAAGATGAGATGCCCTTTAGGTTTTTCCTCACTCCTGCTGAGGATGGGGTGGCATAATTGAGGCAAAGCCTTGGAAACCTGTTTAGGCTACATGAAGCTATTCTAACTACCCACTTTGCTTCATCTATAGGGTCTTTTGTAATTTAAGCAAGTTTATTGAAAGTGTTGCTATTATATCTGTCTGACTGACAAAGGTAGAATGCATTCAGTCTTTTAAATTATATGTAACTAATGTTTTCCTCAACCTTTGACCTACTGGGCAATCCTCTCCAGCAAATAGATATTAAGAAAAAGGTTAAAAGGTAGGCTTACTGTTTGAGCAGTGAGAGGGTTTGTTGTTGTTGTTGTTGTTGTTGTTTTAATTTTAAAGTAAATTTAATTAGGTAGTGTGTTAGTATTAAATGGGAAATGACATGTAGAGCTTGAATGTAGCAAAGAGATTGGCTACAAAAGAAAGAAGAAAGAAACAAAGAATAAAACTATAAGAACTGCAGTGTGGTAGCATATTACATGAGGGAAACCCAATTAGATACTTGAGATGAAGAGAAAAAAGGAAAGAGATGAGAGAGGGAAATCAAATAGGCAAGAGAAATAAAAAATAGCGGAGTAAAATTATAACAAGCTTGCTAGTAGAATGATATTTTTGATTTGTTTATTTAAGCATCCAAAATATACTCATGTGCTCTCACGTGAGCATCCATCCCAGGTGAACAATGGGGGAAAAATACATATTTTGTTGTAACCCACCCACCATCTTGTTTGAGAAAATACTATCTTTTATTAAAAACACTAACTATGAGAGAGTCAAGTGTCTAGAGAAGGGAGAACATGTAGATGAAAGAACAAAGTCCATTGGGCTAAGAATGCTGTCTTGGGCTCTTGGAAGTTCAAGTGCTTAGAGAGAGGATACATCTTCTATTCAAATGGCCTTTTACTCCCCTGCCTAAACCTCAAATGAAAAGCAAATGAAACTCATTTATCGTTTTTGTTTAGAAGTGTAGTTTGGTGGAGGAAGAGAGTGAAATGTTTGCATTGAATTTTATCTGCCCATGATGTCGGAGTTGCCTTTCAAACCAGCTGGTTCGCTAGATAGATACTTTCAGATTCCATGCTCATCCCTATTCACTGACACTTTTTCCATGTACTTGATTTTTCAAACCAATCTAATGGACAGATGGTGGGGAGAGTTGGGGAGGTTGGAAGGGATACTTCAGTGGAGGAAAGAATGGTTTTGGAAGAAAGGACAGAGCCAGGGAGAATATCAGAAATGATACAAAGTCAGGGAAGTGTTTTCTCACAGGAAACTTGATGACAAAAATAACTTCTAAAGGAAGATACCGTGTTTTGTCACATAATATGTAAATATAGTGGATTATTTTTGTTTTGTTTTTAATACAGTGGAATATATTAAAGGATTGCAGAAACAATGAACTTCACGTTGGGAAATAATATGCTTTTAACAGCTAGCTCTTAAAACTATTCCTCAGTCCCCTCTGCCTCCTCCTGCCCCACCCCGTCCCCCACTCCCACCTGGTAAACCTACCCTGGTCAGGGCTTAGCTATCTAGTTAAAGATAACATTATAAGTTGGTCACTAAACATCACACTGTTTTCGACGGTTGGTTCCTCATGGTTGGAGACAGAATTTGTACACTCTCCTATTGCAGCCATTACTTTAGCCAATCTTCTTAAGGAGCTGGAGGATTTCTCCTATCTGGATGGGTATAGGTTTTGGAATTGGAGCACAGGACACCTCCTGAGGCAGATAATCCATCTGCAATTAACAAAATTGACTCATCCTGAATTTTAAAAGTCTCCCTGTGTCCCAAATGTTATTTATCTTAAATAGCATTATCCGAGTGATTTAGGGCTTATTTACCAATTTGTTTTAGATTAGAGATTTATTTTCCAATAGTTTTCCATTTAAATTTTAAGTTATTCAAAAGATTCCATTGTTTTCTTCCCTTAAAAAAGACCGAATTTAAATTATGTTCTGTTAAGGTAGTAAGAATAATTTTTTCTAGCTTTTTTTTTTTTAAGATTTTATTTATTTGACAGAGATCACAAGTAGGCAGAAAGGCAGGCAGAGAGAGAGAGAGAGGAAGGGAAGCAGGCTCCCTGCTGAGCAGAGAGCCCAATGTGGGGCTTAATCCCAGGGCCCTGGGATCATGACCCGAGCTAAAGGCAGAGGCTTTAACCCACTGAGCCACCCAGGCACCCTTTTTTCTAGCCTTTTAATTGCAGTTGTGTCATAATATCTCCTCAGAGGTAGGCTTTTAAAAATGATGCTAACGGTAAAATTTGGAAATTTAAAGCAGATATACTAGAGCTTTAAATTATGTATTACTAACCAAGCCTTTGAAGGCTAAGTAATATGTATTACAAAGGAAAAATGGATTTCTAGTACATAGCCTCATGAGCTATAAAATAAGGAATTTGAATTTAAAATCAAGTCCTTTTATTTTCTGTGCTTCAGTTATTATCACTTAAAAATAGATTTTATTTTATTATGAGAATAAAAATTATTTTTTAATATTTCATAGGAACTTAGGTGACTTTTTTTTTTGGAGCCGATGTTCAAGAATCTTTAATTTATTTTTTAATAGAAGCTTAAGATTTTCACAATTTCCAGCAGTCTGTTCTGTCAAATTCAAGTTCTGAGCAAATTTGGATTCCGATTTTGAGCAACCACATTTTTCATATCTAATTCCATCCAACATTTTGGTCTTTTCCCTGAACCCTCCTAAAATGAGTCTTGTGCTACTTAATTTGTCTGCAACATTTACTGTGTCTTCCTATGACTCATCGGCTCCTCTCTTTAGATCGTCCCATTATTATTTACCATTATACCCACACAGCAGTGTGTTTTCTCATGCTGGGAGATTGTATCCAATTTTCTGCGTGATGCTGTCAGAAAGTCTTACTTCTTCTATCTTTAGGGAGCTTAGTGATGGATTCAGTAAAGCCTTCCAAAATGCTAGAATCAGCACCAGTTTAAGAAAGATTGCCATTCTTTCCTCTGGGAGGAAAGCATTTATTATGTTCATCAAGTAATAGACCTGTTTGTTCCTGTATTGCACATCCAGGCATGACTGGTTCTGTATAAAAGGATGGGGTGAGGAGGCAGGAACTGGTTGTGATTAGAAGGAAGATTATTACCCCAGGGCGGGGGCGCGGGGGACCACCATGGGTAACTAAACTGACAACTGTATTGGCTAAGGGAAAAGATTATGTTCTTTGTGGCGTGGGTATAACAGCTTGTGATTTAGGCAATTAGTAGTGGATAGAGGATAAAGGGAGAGACCCCAGAGAGATTAGTGAACGGTACAGTGAAAAGAGTACAGGGACCAGGACTCAAGAGGCAGGTGAGAAATGGAAGACCAGCTTGCAGTTGACTGGTGGACACCAGGATTCCGGCTCTGACATAGGGTTCAAAGACACTTGCATAGTGGGTGCTGAATTCCATCAAGAGAAATGTGGGGAGAAGAACAGAGCAGAAAGGAATCTGGGGAGTAAGGCAGAAGCAGCCAAGGGCTTGTATGGGACTTGAGGCAGAGCCTTGAAGGTTTGCCTTAAAGATCTGATTCAAATGTGGCCTGATTCTGAAAGCTGTGCTCTGGCTGTGGGTGCATGTAGATCAAGTCAGTGAGAGGAGGACAGGGAGGAAGAAGAATAGGAAAATGCTTAGTCTTGAAGGTGAGAA